CGACAACCACTATATCTCCTAAAATCTCAAGCGATGAGATCACCACTGAATCAGTCATCACTTCTACTCTTAAATCTATATTATCGACTCAACCATTGATTCAAACAAAGGGAGTACCAGTTGTTAGCGAAACGGCAACACCTGTTGATTCAGTTGAATCGACAACTTTGTCGAGCATTATATCGACAATTGCTTCGCTAATTACTGGTTCACCGAAAGTCGAAACTGATTCGTCGATCACAACCAGTCCTTCTACTGAAAAGTCAAGGATTGATGCGACGATCGAAACGACTACTAAACCAACTTCCGGTGCCAAACACTGGTGTCAAAGTCTGTAATCACTAAGTTGTCTCTTCAGTTAATTTCTCTGACTTTCGTGAAGTTGCGGTTAATGGTGTGTAAACAATGGTTAGTTACTTTGAAGTAAACGATGGTCAGGAGGAGGATAGTCGACTACTCAGGCAATCACTGAGGAAACGACTCATTCAGTAACTACTGATACAACAACTGGTGGACTCCGGAAGCAAAATGACTCTGCTCAAACATCACCAGCCGATGATTTTGTCACTTTAATGTCGACGACGAGTAAACCATTGATTACATTCATCCCAATGGATATCTCGAAGACAAGTCAAACAGTCATAGACTCCACGACCCAATCGATGGTCACAACAACACAGTCATCGATAAGTACAACAGAATCCATGAAACAAACAGCAAGTCCTCGAGAGTCAGCGGTTGTCACGAATAAAACCACTCAATCGACCACTCCTTCCACTGTATCGACAACTCCTACATATTCAGAGCTCGACGAAGGAGGTAATGAATGGTTTCATGAAATGAGTTCTCAAACTAATCCTCTAATCTTTACCCCCAAAGCGTGTGTTTACGACAGCAAAGTATATCAGTCGGCCGAACAGATCCCACGCCCACATCCCTGTGACTTCTGCTTCTGTTTCCGCGGGGATATCATATGCCTTCAGCAGACGTGTCCGCCACCAATCGCCCGGTGCTATGAGACACAGATTGAGGGATTCTGTTGTCCTCGATATGAATGCCGTAAGATATTTGCCAATAAATCTTGAAAAACAGAAATTAATCCTATTTTTGATTGAATGAACAGCGGTTCAGGTGACCACTCAGAATGTGACGGTCACTACACCCACAACACTGCCCACACAGCAAGTAGAGAGAAAAGGTATGTACACCTCATTCGCATAGATTTGGATGCAATTGTTGACTAAATGTAAACTCTCATTTGAAAGGGTGTCAAATAAACGGACTCTTCTATGCGGTGGGAGAAGTGATCCGACCGGCGAGTGGGCCCTGTCTTGAGTGTAAGTGCGACCACAGCGGAGTCATGCAATGCAACCCTCAAGTATGTCACCCATATATTGTCAAATAAACGGACTCTTCTATGCGGTGGGAGAAGTGATCCGACCGGCGAGTGGGCCCTGTCTTGAGTGTAAGTGCGACCACAGCGGAGTCATGCAATGCAACCCTCAAGTATGTCACCCATATACCCATAACCTTGCTAATTTGCTTAACTCATTGAATCGCTCGTTACTCGACAGGAATGTTCACCTCAGGCACCGTTACTCCTAAGAATGAACCGCCAATTCTTCGGCGGTTCCACTTCGAGACGAAGATAACGAATGAGTGCTATATTTATACGAAACCGAAACCACTTGTGATTTGTTTTATTATGTTTTGTTGTAAACTCTAATTATTTAAACAAAAAAAACACTTTTCCGATCGACGCAAACACCCGTTGGCCTTATGTGTAGACAAATTGCGCTCAAATTAATTATTTATAAAATATTTTTGTGCCAAATCTGATGCAATGGGAACAGCGATTGTGTCTTAAAAAAACAATAGCGAAGTCGAAACGAAATCATCGATTTGTTAAACAGAAGTCAGAGTAGAAAACACACAAAAGTTGTCATAAAAAAGCGAAGAATTAGTTTTGTTTCTCACAAATCGTGTGTAAAATATAGTTTATATCATTTTTTCGGTGTCGGAATTGCTGTCTCCATCGCAAACATAATTTATAGTAATTTATACAAAATATTAATTCAATTTCTGCTCAATTCGTTTCAACAAATGCGAGACAAATCTTTTGCTCATTTTGTTTGCGAGGGAATAGCGAATCGTGTAATATATCTGTTCAACCAATTGGTTGTCCAGCGGTCTAATGGTATGCCATTTGTATGCCTCAAGAGATCGCGAAACCAATTGTTTTTCTTCAATCGGGAATCACAGCAACACAACTGTGGATGTGATGGATGTGACGGCGGATATCATTAAATATTAGTCCATATTTTTCTACTTATTTTTTTATTCAAAGATGAAATCATTTTTAAATAAAACCATTTTCTTTAAAACCAATTGTCATTTCATTTCTAGATATAGCTCTTGTGTGCAATAAAAAAACATTTATTTTGTTTGAATTCAACCCAATATTAAACAAACTATTGACTCTTATCTATATATAATTACTTTAACAAAAATAATATTTAAATTCTTGACTCAAGAATTGTCAGAATTTAAATTAGGAATTACGTACAGTACATACAAAAACTTTCATAACCTAGATCGTTTATAACATGAATTATTAATTTTCTGTCTAAATAGTTGTGATTAGAAATGACACTTACATTTATATACTTTTTTATATTAAAATATAGCCAAAGTTTGACACAAAGTTATTTGATAGAAACTTACCTGGATATTGTATATCAAAAGTTTTGGTACATTTCGTGCCACATGTGTGCGATAGATGTCGCCCATAGAGCCATACAAATGCAATCATATTTGTGATGAAAAACATTGCATTGAATGACAGTTTGTTTAAAACATATAAATCATATGATCATTGAATTGGTGTTCAATTAATGCATAAAACGGTGTAATTCTTGTCCTCATATAACCATTCATTGCAATCAATTCATACAAATCAAACACCCATTGGTTTCCAATCGTTTGTTCCCGGCTTAAAGTTTGTCAATAATTTGCCACTAAATGTAAGACATGTTTAAAATATATTTAAATTTTTATTAATTACAAAATATCGATTAAATTACATAAACACCTTGCTAAACAACAACAACAAAAAGTTTACAATACATAGCGTTATCGTAATAATATTATTACCTTGATACAATAGTAAAATAGCATAACTAATTTAAACAATTAATACAACAATATAAGAATTGCCAGCAGATTGTGCTCCCTGTCCTCCCTGTCCACTGATTCTTGAGTTACAGTAACATTGAGTTAATGTGTGTTAAATTATTCTTGCTCAAATTATCGCACACATTGAATGCATTTCTCTAATTAATTATGCATTTATTGGTGAAGTAGTACATTGGCTACGAGTTAGGTGCTTATCACCAATTAACCAAGTACAAGTAGAGTTATGGTATCTTATAGGCTACTTATTAATCACATCTTCATTTCTCTAATTAATTATGCATTTATTGGTGAAGTAGTACATTGGCTACGAGTTAGGTGCTTATCACCAATTAACCAAGTACAAGTATAGTAATGGTATCTTATAGGCTACTTATTAATCACATCTGCTTGATATAATCAATAGTTGATAATAATTATTAGTTACAAATATATTTATAGATGATTTAGGCGTTTGTGTAGTTATTAGAGACCAAATAAATAGTAATTTTATGAATATTTGGTATCATTTCTGGGAATTAGTGGAGACTTTGGAGAGAATATGAATGGTTTGGCAAAAGTGATGAATGAATGCATTTTTGCGATCATTTCAATAATTGTCTTTCTATTCAATGACACAAAAATGATTTGTCAAACTAAATGACTTATTTATGAAAAGTTTTTAAATTAAATAATTATAATGTTATGAGAGAATGGCTATAATTATCAAATATTTTCCAAAATCATTAATGCTTTTGATTTTCTATGATTGCATTTAAAGGCAAACAAAGAATTGATTTGAAAGTGTAGTACAAATGACTGAATGCTTACATACACTTATACTTAGCTATAAGTTTTGTGTGTCTAATGTATATAGTTTTCTACTTTAGATAATATGTCTGAGAAAATGAGATAATATTATTAGAATTAATGCAATGATTGTATGAATCGTTTTATCATTATTTAAGATCATTAGCTCTTTAGCTATGAAGTCGTGGTGTGGGAAACGATTCACTCTTTTTTTAGACAAAAAAAACTCATCTAATATTCAAATCATACCAACATTTCAATCAATGACTTGAATCTTAGGTTTATGTAAATCACGCTTTAATCCATTCATTACGCAAAACAATTGAGACAAACATCGGATACTTAAGTAACAAAAGACTTATTTTTCGTGTTTTGCCAAAACAGTTGACTTGTTTATACCTATTGTTAGTGTCAATCAAATACAAGGGTATATACAGTATATACGAATACCGTACTATTAAAGCTCAGGTATGATAAGCTGTTTAGTGAAGTAATGTTTAATTAATTCATTAATTTCTCGAAATATAATACTCGAGAGTATAGCGTAGGAAAGATTTGCGAAACGATTAGACATTACTTGTGAGAAATACTCATTAACTTAAGTCTTCATTGGACTCAACACTATTGGCTTCTACTTCTAGTAATTCACTACAAATTACTTAAGCCTCAGAATAATAACAATTTTATACAAGTGCTGAATATTTTGACCCCTTGTTCACCACTTAAAAATTTAAGTTTTAAATAGCTGGCTAAATATGACAAATTTTATTAATAATTGCATTGATTAGATATTTGACGAAATTTAGCAATAATTTTTTAAATACATATTTATTTATTTAGTTTATAAAGTTAACTCAATAATATCAACCTTTTTTAAAATCTTAAATATAATTACATTTTTATAAATACATTTTTAGTTAAATATTACATTTAATGTAACGAATTCTTTATAAATGGGAACTGTTTTGATGTTTAAATTATTAGCCATTAATACGACAATTAATCACAATTTAAATGGGTTTGAGTTTTGAATGCATTGCGAACTTTAATGTATGGTTAGGTTATTGTTGTTGCAATTCATGGCTAAAAGACATTTATTTAAGTATTGGTCTCTTAAATGAGAAATTCTGTGCAATTTTCTCTCCAATAACGCCAAAAGCGAATTCAATCAGAGTTTTTAGTTTTTTGTATCAATTTATCAAATGATCATTAAGTCAGGAATTATTAACCCTTTTGAACATTAAGTTTTTAATACAGTATTTAAGAATCGCATTGTACTGTACGTGAAAACCACATAATTTTATGGCTTTGAAATGAATGCAAATTATTATTCACAATATTTTCATTAAATTGCAATTAATTGAATATTAGCTTAAATTTATAATGACTTTATTATTCGCCATTTGGTTTAACACACAACTTTTATTAATATTTTATTTTTATTTATAATTTTAAAATAATACAAATAAAAATTCAAGCAATTAATTGATATTTTTGAAATAAATACAATATACCTGTAATCAATTTATAATATATGATATTAGCTATTTGTTTTGGTATTTTTGTAGTTTTAATTTAAATAAGCATGCCAAGTTTACGATCGATATTAAGTCTCTAATTATTAGTATAATCTAAATTGAAAGTTGTATGTGAGGTCTCATTGTAAGCCTAAAAACAGTTGACTTTTATAACGATTTTTTGGAGAATATCTCAGAAAATTTAATTAATTAGAAAATATTTTATTATAAAGTTTGCCATAAAAAAGGTATCTATACTTAAGATCTTAAATTAAGTCACAAAATGTTGCGGTTAGACCAAAGTTTAGATCATTTGAGCAAATTATGCTCCGATACCAACCCCTCCCTAATCATTAGAATTAGATTCTTATAAATAATAAGTTTTCTTATATTTTATATTTATATATAATTTTGCTGTAGCGTATTGAATGGTGGTGTAACAATTGATTTATTAGTTAATTTCTAATCATTTTCTTATTAATTTATATGCCTTTATTTATTTATTCAAAATGTTATAGATTACTTTTAAAATTCCTTTGCATTGATTTATATCTCACGCATACCGTAGACGTCTAATTCATTTTAACCCTTCATTTTGACAATTTGTAACATTGCTTAATTAGAAATTAAATCCAATGTTATGTTTAACACAACACAACTCTTTTTTTATTTGATTAACTATTTTATTGTTAATGAAGTTTGCGTTTAAATATAAAGTCAAATAAGCGTAAAATTATCTAGCATGGCTTTTTAGTATTTTTTGCATGTTATTAGTGATTCACTAAAAAAGTGTTTAAAGGGTTTGACAGGAAGTCTGTTTTTAGGAGTCAATAATTATACGAAAGTACTGTTTTTGGGGCTTTAATGACCATTAAATTGAATCGTAATGCGAGTTGTTTAGTCTAAATTTAAGTCCAATCCATCACTGATACAAATATACTACAAATGTGTACAGAATATGCTGTTTAGGCAAAAAAGATTCAAAAGGATTGTATTTTAATACATAATTTGCTATAGAGATGAACAAAGGCTTATTAGGGGATAGAGTTTGGAGGCATCGCCTCATCTGTTGTACGGTTTTGTTGAACAGATTTTAAAAATTTGTAGGAAATGTTAAAAAGTGATTACCTCTGGAGGCGATTAGTCGTCGCAATTAATATGATATTAAAATAATATAATAAAAACTGATAGAAATTGATTGTACGGATAGGCACTGATTGTGGACTAGGGTTTCAAAGCATTAGTTTAATTGCCACAGAATTAGAAGAGCAGATGATTTGAAACAATAAACAATTTTTGTTGAATGCTTTTATAACGTGACCGACGGGTGACTCACTCCGAGAACATTGTGATAGAAAGGGAGAGAAATGGCAACAAAAATTACATAAAGTTTTTCGGTATTTTGTTTTTTATGTGAAGCTATTAATGAATACAATAATTGGATTCAATGTAAATGTATTGAAGAGGACATCAATCGTAAGAAATATTATCGTCGTATTGGGGGCAGCGAGGAGTGCGTCCACCAGAATGTACTCGTGTTTAGTGACTCGACCCGATCTCCCACAACCACTCTATGAGGCCCTCCGACCGCACTGTGCGCTCGACGTCTGGCAAAAGCCGGTGATTATGCCGAGAGATGAGTTGGTGGCGCGGATTAAAGGCAAACAGGCATTGCTGTGCACTCTATCCGATCGCATCGACGCTCATATATTGGATGCGGCGACCGACTCGCTGCGAGTGATCGCAACCATATCCGCCGGTTTCGATCACATAGACGTCAATGAGTGTCGCGCGAGAGGCATAAAAGTGGGAAATACACCCGACGTGTTGACAGATGCGGTCGCCGAGCTCACCATCGCTTTACTGTTGGCCACCAGTCGACGACTTTTTGAAGCGGAAAAAGCGCTCCGAAAGTATAGAAAGTTTTTGCGTGTGTTTGCGGTTGTCTTGTGTTGTGTTTGCGTAGCGTTTGAGTGTTTGTCTGAACAGTAGTAAAGAGGGTTTGATTTATTTGATGGGTTTTAGTGGCGAATGGAAGACGGGTTGGAACCACCTATGGATGTGTGGCTCGTCTATCAAAGACAGTGTTCTGGGGTTCGTTGGTATGGGACGGATAGGGATGGCTGTCTGCCAGCGGCTGAAGAGTTTTGGTGCCAAAGAGTATCTGTATTGCGGAAACAGCGCGAAGTCCTCGGCGGACGCATTGGGCGCACAATTTGTATCGTTTGACGCGCTGTTAGAAAAGAGTGATTTCGTGATCATAAGCTGTCTATTGAACGACAAAACTCGTCACATGTTTGATGAAAAGGCATTCAAACGCATGAAGACGAGCGCGATCCTGATTAACACGAGTCGCGGGGCAGTCGTCGACCAGAAAGCGCTTTACAATGCATTAAACTCAGGCGACATTAGAGGAGCCGGACTCGACGTCATGGAAGTGGAACCGATCCCTCTCGACGACCCCCTCCTCTCATTGTCTAACGCCGGTGTGTCTGAGCTCCACATTAAGTCTAACATTGAATTTAATTAACAAACACTTTGTCCCTCACTATCCCCTTCCCTGTCTCTCCAACGCTCACCACTAAATAGAGGGAGTGTTTGATGACTGCTTACCAAACAGTCAAACATTAGATCTTTTTTTGGTTTCATATACTGTTTTGAAATCATTAAAACCCGAATACAATGGACTGTTTGATTGAATCGAAACTCCGATCCATTAATGTATTCGTGTTTTTATATAGACTCTAATGTTTTGTTTGTGTACTTCGAGGCAATGTTTAAAATTTATTGAGAATTAATGGCATGATTTGATTGAAATATTATTTATTAACTCTGTTTTAGTAATATTACCACACATTGGAAGTGCTTCTCACGAGACTCGACTGGCAATGGCTGTGTTAACGGCTCGCAATGTGATGGCAGGCCTACAACAGGCCCAACTGCCCGCTCCCGTCTGCCAATAAACTTCTCATATCTGTAGCTCTTGTTTGCTAAACATTTTAAGCTTATAATTATATTTTTGGTTCTCTCGCATACATCGTATGTTTGCTCAAACTTAATGGTAATTACTATACGAGTCTTGACTTTTCGTGTTTCACTTTTTATATGTATTTTGTTTTCCGTTTGCACTCATAATAAGCGAACCTTTAGGTTAGGTATCGTTCTTAGAAAATATGAGTACCACTTGTGTGGCCCCAGAATTAAGGCATAGATTGTGTGGCGTAAGGAGACTAACCTAACGAGCCTGTCGTCATCCTTATGCTCCCAAACTATAGGCTATCTCTCCTCTCGTCTCGTTCTCATCGTCTCTCATATTTTTCTTCCACTCATTTCCACTCGTTTTACAACAAGAATGGGAACTAAGAGACAACTGATAACTATATAATACCTGATTTGTTGTATATATTATATATTGGGTTAAAACACATACCTATTAGATAAGCATTATTTTCATGTTTAAAAAGTAGTAAAACGTGAACTAAACTAGCATTTTATGAATTCCATATCAACTGAGAAAATGTTTTTTACACCAATTTATTGTTCAATATTTGAAATTCTTTTTAATGCTAATTATCTCTTGTTTTCGATATAAAGAATTTGTTTTTTCGACATAAATATTAATTATAAATAATGTATGAATAAAATTTGTTGATTTTTGATAAAAATGAATTTTAATAAAAATAAAATTGTACATTGTTTAGATACTTTGTCGTTAAATAAGGAGTTATTTGTCGCTAATACAGATAAACCCTAAAAGATTTGTGTGTAATTGAGAGCAACTCTGCATTAAATAAATGAATGAAAGAGAGAGAGAGAGAGAGAGAGAGAGAGAGAGAATAGTTGCGAACAAAACAAATCGATACCATTATTCATGTCTCTGACTGCTGTTGATGTCATTCTTTCATTAAGTTTTAATCTATTATTCAAACACTTTGTTTTACATTAAATGAGATTATAGTTAAGTAATCAAAAAACATACCCCAATACGACTTTTAAACAAAATTTAATTCACAACAACAAAAAGTATTAAATTATTTATAATTTTATTGTAATTTTGAGGAAATAAAAGTCTTTTTAATAAAGTTATCGTGAGTTTGACAGCAATCACTTAACACATTAATAAGCTTACAGTTAAAGAGTCAATGGACTCGTTGGTAACCCATAGATAATTTAAGCCCACATCTTAATGTCTACAAAACTTCAATATAAGTTTATTATGATATTGGGAACTATCCTCTCATTGAGATATAATTTGTTTTTCAAAAATGAATGATACGTTTTTAATTATTGATTTGTAATGTAAAAACAACTAAATTCAGAGGTAGCCAAAACAATAGTTTAATGGGCAAAAAGTGAGCAAAATAGCAGTGTAGATTTGATATGTGAGTGCTATTCCGCACACATATTGTGAAAAACGTACAGCAATTACAGTGAAGTAACCGAGAATTCAGTGTTAAATGTTGTAATATTCGGTGATATATATGAAATATTATATAAATAGGTGAGTGTTTCCATAGTAAAGCGAGTTTGTTGTGAGTATAACTCAAACAACAAAGTTTTTTTCATAATATTATTAATAGTAATAATAATACTGAGAATTGTGTATAAGTTTTATATAATCATTAAAATGAATGGCAATTCTGTAAGACTAATGTGCATTAGATTTGGTGAAGCGATGTCTGTGTTTCTCATACAACAAGACATTCACCACTTCTTAATCTTTATTTCCACTCTAAAGCTCTCGAGTCTTACTTTTGTTTAATATTAAAACTAATTAAATATAAATATGATTAGTGTCTAGTTGTGTGTGTGGTTTCTACTGTCTCTTAACCATGTTTTGTGGCAAATGTCTGATACTATCTTAAGATGAATTCCAAAAGTATTGACACAAATGAACAAATGATGACAGGAAGAGGAGTGTCTAATGATCTGTTCCACGACCAGAGGCCACCAGAACCCGGTTTTAACAATATTAATGTTGTTATTAGGTTTGCTATGCGTTTGGCCTCCTTTTCCATCGCTTATAACAATTGAGTTATTTTTATGTGTTTTTACATGAATGCCATATTTTTCTGGTAGAGTGCGACCATTATCACCGAAACAGATCCAGAACAGTGACCGTAAGGACCAGACACTCAATTTTCCAGACGGCGGACAAATTCAAGTAATAAGACATAGCCTTTGGAGTGAAGCCATAGTACTGTAGTGTGTGTTGTTGTGCACGGAATGACTGGATTTATTGAATGCTGTGAACCCAGAGATCAATTCCCAAACTAATGATCACTTGTAGTGCAACTGTTTTTAGTGAATCAAAGCGTTCACTATAATTGCAATCGACTGTATCGTATGTATGTATAGTGTTGGCCCTCTCTTATAGCCCACGCTATTTATGCTAATAATAGGTTTAGTGTATGGATATAATCATCACATATTACGGGAGAGCATACATACCACCAAAGTTGATGTTTGTTGTTGATGATGATGTTGTTGATGATATTGATGACTATTTTGTTGCTTTTTGCTCATCTCATTGCTTGTATGCCGTACATTACCAATAGGTTGGAGATCCTATATCAGGATTATCCAGGTCCTTCACGTTCAATGTTGTCTTCGAACCGGAAGCCTCTCAGGAAGAGGTCTTCGAGCACTCGGGAGTCAAACGACTCATTGATATGTCTCTCGATGGGTAACACCGATACTAACACTTTGTTTTTTATGCTAATTATGGACTAACCTTGTACATTCTCTATGCTATTCTTATACAATAGGTTTGCCTGTACTGTATTCGCTTACGGCCAGACCAGCTCTGGAAAGACATATACGTTGACAGGCAATGCATTTGAGGTCTGACAGCCATTTGGCCATTTCCTTCGCTTCCTATTATCATAAAAGCCATAAATTTGTGTTAACGAGCGCTTGATAGCAGAAAATATTTATCAAAATAATAAATAGAAATATAAAAAATCTAAATTAAAAGCACAGCAATGATAGAGCTATGATACACAGCAATGAATTGCAAATTACAATCCATAATACATAAGCAAATGTTTGAGTTAATGTGAGGCAATAACACATTTAGGGAGAGAATTTGAATGCGAAAATAGCACTGCAATTGAGAGAGAGCATAGGATGAGAGCCGAGAATGAGATGAATGAATGAATGAATGAATGATCGCAGAGAGAAATCATAGTAATTAAGGACTGAATATAAACAATATATTTATAGAGAGAGAGAGAGAGAGAGAGAGAGAGAGAGAGAGAATCGGGAGAGAGAATTGCCTGAACACACACTCTCTCACACAAATTACTTGTGTTAAGAAATATTATTAGTTATGAGAGTTGTAACTATAGGTAACATTTGTCTCTATTTATTCAAACTGTCATTATATGGCTATAACAGCAATATTCGACGTCCGAGAACACAATCGCTGGCAAAGGAAGTCCTAATGATGGCAAAAGAGAGAGAGGAGCACAGGCAGCGCACAGAGCACAGGCAGACAAGAAAATGATTGGTGTCATGCAATTAGCCTTTGCATATCTTTTTGAACAAATCAAACTCAGAAAAAACAGAAGTCTTCTCTACATTATTCATGTCTCTTACCTTGAAGTCTATAACGAGCAGGTAGTACACTATTACACGTTATAACATATTATTGTGATAAATAAGTATTATAATGTGCTCCAGTACACATTACGCTAATTCTAGTTGCATGGGCGCTGACAGAGCACTTACACCACTGACATGTCAATTACTAAATATATTGTTTATATTCAGTCCTTAATTACTATGATTTCTCTCTGCGATCATTCATTCATTCATTCATTCATCTCATTCTCGGCTCTCATCCTATGCTCTCTCGTATACACAGGTTCTCGATCTCCTCAACCCATCGCCGAAGAGTCTGAACGTCCGGTGGGCTAAAGATCGCGGCTTTTACGCCGAAAATCTGTTCAAAGTTGAGTGCGAAGACATCGGCGATCTCGAAGGAGTGCTCGAAGAAGGTCTGCCAATGGGATTAGTAATGGATATAAACATTGAGATGACTATCTCTGCATTGTCTTTGATAGGCTGTAAGAACAGACAGGTTCGGAGTCACAGTATGAACGATAACTCCAGTCGTTCCCATAGCGTCATGACAATCACGTTGGCCTCCGAGACACAGGACCCCGAAGATCCTCAGGTAACGTATGGTCGCACACATATCCTGGGCTCAGGGCTCTCTCTCACTCTACTCCCTGTGCCATAACTGTGTGGCGCCTCACAAATATTCATATGATAATTACGAACTGCTTTACTGTCCTTTTTTTCAATGAAAGGGCTATATTAGGAGAGAGGGCCGGCTGTGTATCGTCGATCTCGCAGGCAGTGAGAAGACAAAGAGAACTAACAGTAAAGGAGAGACACTAATTGAAGCCAATAATATCAATCGCTCCTTGCTTGTTTTAGGTACCAGTGTGTGTGTGTGTGTGTGTGTCTGTGTGCTTATACTTAAATATCTCTCGAAAATATTAGCCCTATATATAGCACTTTTATTTACTCTACTCTCTGTAAAAGGCAACTGTATTTCCTCTCTGTCCGACCCTAAGAGGAGAAGCGGTCACATTCCCTATCGAGACTCCACTCTCACTAAACTTCTCGCAGACAGTCTCTCAGGCAATGGCATGACTCTAATGGTATGAAATCCTTGCTTTTACTCGCGATTCTATTGTATTGATTACATTTCTATGTAATTGTCCACTATTTCCATCAGTTTTAACACTTTCTCTAATCAATTGAGAATTTCTTAAGTACTTAGACAAGGGATTCACTCAAATGTGTCTCAGCATTAAGCTATTGATTATTCCGTTTATGTTTGATAGCATTTCACTGTTTGTATGTATTCATTGAAGTGGAATACGAGTAATAATTTATATGAAAAGTTTATTGCCGTCTCATAAAACTTAATTCTTGAAAATTAAATTTGTTTTTCTGTCATTTAATTTAAAGTCATAGCGTATTTACATAAATTGAGAATCTAATTAATATTAATTCGGATACTTAGCGAACATAAAGTTTTTGAAGACTTTAACATATTTAATGTTAGCTGAAAAGTTTGTTTGCTTTTTAAAATATGATATAAGTGTCATTTACTAGTTACAAAAACATAAAAAACAACAATAGACTGACATATCATTTAAATTGATTTAACATTAAATTAGTCACAATTCATGCGATAATCGATTGTAAATAAAAAAATTTTGAATAAGATATAAACATTGAAATCTAAAATTCAATAAAAACAATAAACATGCACAGACTAGATCAAACATTTTAAGACAATATTATTGTTTGGAGTATAAACTCACAAAAATTTAAAATTAGCAATATTAAGTTAGACATAATAATATTATTATTATATAAAATGCGATTCTGTGCAATGCATTATATTTTTAGTAAGCTACTTTAAAATAATTTTTAAATAGTTTTAGAATTCTTAAGAATTTATGGCTGAATAGCGAGACATGTAAAAACAAAACTCAATTCTTGAATAATATATTTCAATGAATAAATATTTAATTGATTGTAAAAATTCAAGGATTCATAATGTGAGCAATCAAAGTTAACTACTTATAAAATGATATTACATTTGTTATTTAGGCATAATTAAATATAGTTTAGTGAGTTTGCAAATCTTAGCCATAGTATCAGTAATAGTCATGAATCCAATAAAATTGTAATTTGAAGACAAATCTATTTGCTGTAATGTAATGTTGAATGAATTGATAGATAGCTTGTGTGAGTCCGCATAAGTTGGACGCATCGGAAACAATAAATACATTAAGATATGCGTCGAGAGCTAAGAAAGTCAAGACCCATCCCATCGTTCAAATGGTTTGCGAGAATTTTCACATTAATTGCAAAACTTAGCATAACATGAATGCATTAATTATGCAATTGTTGTCTATTAATGACTGTTTAGGATCCGCGAGAACTACTAATACTGAGTCTGAAACGAGAGGTTCGTCTCTTGCGTATGGAAAACAACTATTTGAGACAACAGGTAATCACTGAATACAAAAACGTTGTACTAAACTACGAGTAATAGCGAGCATTTGGTTAGCAATTGAGAGGTTGCGAGCTGACACATTTGATACGTTGTGCAAACATAGCCCTTGGCGTATGTAGTTTGCAAACTATGATTAGAGTGATTAGAGTGAAGCTCTAATTTGTTGGGAGGGATACTAATGGATGTGTGTGTGTGTGTGTTGTGTAATCAAAACTAATCTCAACATCCATTTCCATGCCATGCCATTTGAATACAGCTGAATCTCGGCAATGGATTCCCGCTTAACACCAGTAATGGCGACACCGGTGACAGGGCTGACAGACCCACTTCTCATGGCTCGGATACATCGCTAATTGAAAGCAATGGACAAATAGACAGCGAAACTGAATTACACCCAAAAATTGTGAACAAATACATGCAGGAGAACGAGTCGTTGCGGTCAGTCATACAGAATATATTGCTGTTCAGACATACCATATATAAAAACACATATATTTTTGTGCTTCAACTCAAACAATGAGCTGATTATCTATTTTAGTGGATATTATATTCATTGTATGATCTCTTTGTTTGTGTCTGTGTTTTGCGGACCAATAGGGCCGAGAACTCGCAGCTCCACCAACAGAGACAGACCCTAATACACGACCACGAAATGGTTTGTCGGGAGAACGAGCGCCTTCTGAGAAGACTGTCTGCCGCCGGACATAAGGGCCATACGATCGCCACCGAAGCCATCAAAGATCAAAGCGTTGACAGCAATGGCTTATCAGTCGATCGCAAAGGTATGAAAGACCTAAAGGGGAATCGGAGGCTAGCGTTGGGTAATGAGAGGCAAACAAAGGGAAGACAAGACGCTCAGCCACACAACGGATCCGTAGGCATGTGTTTGTCTTATTATATCTTATATATCGAAATAATCTTATATTTTAATAAAAACGCTGATATGTGTGTGGTTTGTGTGTTAATGCGTTTCTCTCTCTCTCTCTCTCATCCCTACCTCCGTGTGCTGGCTGTGGTATCTGGAGAGCAGACCTGAGCCCAAACTTTGAGCTGAGAGGGACGTCAGCAGCAGCTGCACGCACTCACATCATTAGGAAGAGCAACAAATAACTACTTGGCATTCGAGTCCACCTAATTCCTACTCCAGTGCCCATTCATTGTGGGCATTAACGTTGTGTACCTTTCTTTCCTGCAATTCCTACCTGTGCTCTGCGTCTCACCATTATGTGTGCAAAGACATGGTTACGCCAAATAACAGAGTCAGAGACGTGTATAGCTTTGATAGTCTCCTTGTAGTGATGAAGAGGCTGTAGTGATGGCCTATTTTGTCGTGAATACCATTACCGATGTTTTCACGAATTGGCGATTGAATAACATATATATAACATACACTCATATACTAAATGCCCAACAAATCACGCGTTCAAACAACTGTTGGCTCTCATCGTAATTAGCGTTTTAAATCATTTAATGAAAACCAAATGTTTTATATTTAAAACATTTTTTAAGAAGAGAGAGAGAGAGAGAGAGAGAGACGAATTTTTATAAGCATTTTTATTTATTAGTTTTTCATAACAATTGAAATTAACTGTTATTTAATGTTATTATATGAATTGGTTTACGTTTTTACGTGATTCACAAATTGAATCCAAATTCTTATGTATAATAAAAACACATTATTGTATTATTATTATTACTATTAGAGATACTATTTAAATTAAAAAATTATTTTTTATTTCTGTACTTTTGAAAGATTATATCATCTAATACTAGAAAATGATTTACTGTTTGCACACAAATGCTCACAAAATGGCAAAAAAGGAAAAAATAATTAATTTTCTTTTTTTGCAGCCAATTCTTGTTGTTTTTTGTGTAAATCTCTACTTAAATGACTGTTTTCTTGTGTATTATTTAGCAAAAAAGGCGAACAATTTTGGAGTGAGAATAGACTAGAAACGAAAGTAATGTTCAAAATGTTGTCTATTATTTATGTCATGTATTCATAATTATTTTTATACTCTTCACTAAATCTTTCCGACACTCAGTTGGAGTTCTCGACTGTTTTTGTGTTTCACGCAAATCGTTAGTAATGTTAATTCATTTTATATATAATGCCATACATTGTAGCCTTTTATGCAAAACTAGCATAAAGTTTGTGTAAAAAGCGCTGTATGTGTGCAGTACTGGCGCTGGCGTTATAGCTGTTACAGCGCTGACAGTGAGCACCAGAAACTGTTGGTTGGTTTCAGAATAATAGTCACAATTGAATGCCAGAGTGCGAGAGAGAGAGAGAGAGAGAGTAAAGACTTGGAAGATACAGGAGAGAGATAGAGAGTGAGAGTTTTCATATTTAATCGGAAACAGTGATAAATATATATAATTGTTGAGACGATTGTGAACACAAACTGCACTTTGGATTCTGCGCTAACATTCCTGAGCTCTTCATTAACTGCAAAATAAATAATTAAATGATAAGACATCTGGAGAGAGAGAGAGAGAGAGAGAGAGAGAGACTACCAACGCGACTACCAGTGCGACAGATAAGTTGTAGTTGTAGTACACGAACCACTGAATCAGAAATGAAGGGATGGGATGCGGATGCGACCAAAATGAATAGGGCTTCGCTGCTATCGTGCGGCCGTCTACTCCTACTGCTAATCAATTTTCAATAAAGAAACTGCTGATACAACTGTGCAAATAATGCAAACAAAAAATAGACAAAACAGACAAAATAGACATTAGTCTCTCAAATTGAGAATACAATTTGCATGTGATGTGCATTACCGGTGCCGTACCGACTGATTATATTGCATTAAATTACATGTATTCACTCTAAAGTGGCTCCCGATGCCAATGGATACCAACGCCTTATCCATTGATTCATTACGAGCTACAGAGGAATCGATACTATGTTTCTGTTGTGAACACTAAAGCAGAGAAAAATTTAGCCCAAAATTGATGCCAAAGACAAACACAAACCGATAGCTTGTGTTTCGCATAAAAAATTGATTCGTTTTAATGTTTGCTATAAAACACAACTCAATGAAGGGATGGAGTGAGACGTATGTTCACTATTGTGTGCACAGACTATAACAGAGGAGACTATTGAGGGAAGACTGTAGAGACTGTACACTATTTGGTTCAATGATGCGTTGTTTTAAATAAGATTATTCAATGTGTAATGTCCTCATAAAGTCTCATCTCTACTCTCTCTCTCTCTCTCTCCCACTCTCACTCTCTATCTCTCTCCTGTATCTTCCAAGTCTTTACTCTCTATCTCTCTCCTCTATCCTCCAAGTCTTTACTCTCTTTTTTCTCTCCGGGTCTGCAATCATCGACCACCCGGTGCTGCCATAGAAACTAAATTTTGATGCGACGGCACATCCAGAGATAGATAGTTGTGAAGAGAGAGAGAGAGAGAGAGAGTAGAGATGAGACTTTATGAGGACATTACANGAGAGAGAGAGAGAGAGAGAGAGAGAGAGAGAGAGAGATGACGAGGAGATGAGCTGAAAGGAAGTGAAAGCGAAGAGAAAGAAGAGATAAAATGATGGAAGGGATGGCGCGGGAGCTGTGAGTGAATGAAGAGAATTGATAGAAAGAGCACACATTTAGTTGAGTTATATTTTGCGATATCATAGGAAAAGAGAGAGAGAATTAAAGCGCGAATTGACGGCGTGAACATTGACTGTATTTTGTGTTTGTTATGACAGCTCCACCCAAAGGCCTGGCTGAGCGCACCGGCAAATGGTGAGTATTGGTTTTATTGGCTGACACGCGCGAGTGCCACGTCTATGGCTAAGTAATTCCTACGGGTTCTCGAAAACTGGTATCAAAACAGGCTCTGAAATGCTGTGAACGCTATGAACTCGCTTTATAACGCTTAAGGAGACTCCTCTCACAGTTTTTGTACGACTGTTCACAGTTTCGTACCAAAGATTCGCACGTGAGGTTTGAGCCAATCCACCATATCTTCAGTACTCTATTACCATTGAGAGAGAGAACTGTGAGATAGACTCAGAGAGCGAGAGAGCAAAGAGAGAGACAGAGAGAGTTGTCTCACATGCAAGCACTGCCTCAGTTGCCATCGTTGGCACAGTTGTGTGTTGTGTTCACACTGTCCTCACTTTGATATACCATTACCAGTGGTGTCATATCAGAACCTATAAGTCAGGCGACACATCCAGGCATGTCATCTCACCATCGCAGACCCAATCTGTGTTAGTTCTTGTGGCCAGAGTTGTCGCATCATCGCCAGCACTGGTACTCGTATTACCAGAATCGCGATCAAGAATTATTGCGTGATATATACAGCACTAAACTCATGATAATAATAATATTGAGTACAAGACCTCACTCTCCATCAAAACCAACTAATTTGTGATTTATTTCATTCGATAATATTTACCCCAAAAAAAGTGTTTCGTTTCTCTCGTCTCCTAATGTTCTTATCGTTTAGTTTCGCAAGAATTCGACACAACTTTTGATATAAACCTTATAACTTATATAAGAGTGCAATCAAATTAATTTCGTATATAAATCAGCTGTAAATTGATTTTTAAGCCGATATCCACGTCTCCAGTGATTGGGTGATTGAATATAAAAGACTATTATCGGCGAACAACCACTGGTGAGTAGTTTTCATAATCAAATCATTTATGTTTTATGACACATACGTTAGAAAAGTTTTATTAATTTTTAATACATATTTTGATACAGTTTTGACACCAATTAGTGTGAAGTTGTGTGTTGTGAGAAAGAATCTGAAATAAGTCCAAGAATTGAATAGAGAAGCAAAAAGCACAACGACTTGAGAGAGTGGTATGAAAGTGGAAATCCTTGAAAAGATAGTGAACTGAAAAAAGACAATTAATAAAGTAATCGAGAGAAACGTAATTTTGTTGATCGGAAAGCACACATCGACTGCGAGAAGTCGTCAACTAATGATCGTTTAGTCAAATTATTTTCTCCAATCAATCATAAGAATCATTAGAATATTATTGAGAAAAACAATCCCAAAACAAACAAAAAAGTGAATTGAAATCAAAAATATTATACAAAAACATTCAGTGATCGCAGAATTGATGTGTTTAGTGGTTGTCAAAGACTGGTTCGCGATCCAAGCCTTCATCCATGAAATTTCGTCTTGATGTAGAGCCCTGGCCAGCACACGAGTACAGTGACATGGCTTACCAGCAGCCCTTCCTCCTGAGACCGGCCGACTTCAGCTACCGATCGGCGCAGCCCTCGCAGTCGGCCTACTTGTCGGCGTTGGCGGCGTTCGGGCCCATGTCTGGCCTCTTCGGAAAGATGCCGACGCAAGTGCCGCCGCCCCTGTCGGCCGGGGGCTCGCCCTTCATCACGGCCGAGGACGTGCTGGCGTCGCACTCCATCGGCGCACCCCCTGTGCGGCCCTTCGAGCCCGAGGACGACGGCGTCGAAGACGACCCTAAAGTCATTCTCGAGTCGAAAGATCTTTGGGAAAAATTTCACGCTCTCGGGACCGAAATGGTTATCACCAAATCTGGACGACGGTATGTGAAACACTGCTCAGACATGTATATCTCGATCGCCCTGCGCTTCGCTGTACTGTTTAAAGCACTTATAAATACAGTAACAGTGACTGCCATTCAAAGCCAACTTAAGAGAGACAGACTTAATACGAGTCCATAGTATTCGTAGTATTAGTGTGTATATCATGTAAATTAAGGGATCGCTATAACACTGCTATCGGGTTCACAGACTTAAGATAGACCTTCCGAGTGAGAGAAGGGAACTGGAGATTCAATATTCTGACGAACTGTGGGGGGAAAGGGAGACGAGAGCGGCACAGGCAGACAAATGCAGCATTAGGTGACACCATTTTGGGCTCGTATACAATCCTCCTATTGTTCTCAGTGTTGGAGTCTTCACATTAAGCGTTTAAAGTTGGAGACATCCATGCAATGAGTGACTGTCTGTCGCCCGTTTGACTTAACCCAATACCACTCACTACAGGCTATCCATAGGCTCTCCACTGCTTTCGGTCTCTTTCTCTTTGACCGCAATTTTGTTTAAATGTTCGCAAAGATTGTCTTCAAATCAGATGCGTTTCACTCATTCAATAAAGATATGAGAAAAGCATTCAATTTTCACTACTACTCACTCACCATTCAATTCAGTTAACTCTCTCTCTCTCTCTCCTCCGAATTGGTATTGGTTTTGCTGTATATTACTGAGTGTTTACCATTTGGTTTTGTCATAGAAAGTAAGACACATTTAAATGCACTCATCGATGAGATAGTCTTAATGTCTGAACCGTATAGTCGGGACTATTAGTGGTAAACTCGATCACTAATAAGTTTCGGCTATTTCTTTAAGCCATTCGATATAACAGAACGGCTCGACTGTAGTGAATGAGTGCCCCTAAAGTGTATACACAATCTCCAAGAGACCACTTGGACTGCCAAATGAGAGACACAAACGTCTTAAATAATGAAAATGTTTGGCTCATAATGTTTAGGCATTCAATAGTTTGTTTAACAAATCATTTTTGGGTTGTATATAACAAAAGCAAATTAGAGCCCACTCTCGGAAAGTGCACTATTAAAGCACTCGAGTGCTATAAACTGTTAAAAAATAAATATTTATTATTCAGTTTGGATGTAGTGTAAGAAAAAAGTTTTTAACTTAACTAAACATAAGTGTAAGTGTACACTAAGAGAATAGTTTTAATAGTAATCATAATAAAAGTATTTATTTGCCAGAGTTGTAAAGATTGTTAGAGTTGTGTAGAGTTGTTGGCAAACATTAAGAAAAAGGCAAACCACTAGCACTACCACTATCTTAATATCAGAGCAACTTTAATAAGACATGTTTTTCTAACTATATCTGTCTAATGGCTTCGAGTGCTACTGTGATAATGGATCAAAAAATACATAGATTTATGTGAAGTAGTGAGTAGTTAGCGATAGATAGTTAGCAATTCACTCGATATGATGACTGGTGTTACAAACCTTGGGGTGAATTTCTCGCATCACTCACCACTACCTCTCCATCAAATGAATACATTTCACAGCCATAAATATACGCGATACCCAGGTATCAGGCATAACCTCACTTATTAGAGAATTTGGCAATTTTTTATATAACATATCAAATAAGTATTATATAATAATAATTATGTTTGCGATACGTCTTGAGAGACTGGAGCCAAAACAGCCACCATCGCTGTCAAAACGCATGCATTGTTTGATTAATAAATTTTCACCGATTGCTTAATGACTGCTCTGAATATCAATTAAATGAGCGAAACAAGAGTTGCGATGGTTTTGGTGGTGGGGAGTGATTACGAGCCAGAAATGTGTGGAGGCGTGCATTCATTGAAGCCATTCTCTACACTCTATTCACTGTATTCACTGGTATTCTCAGTGTTTACTAAACAGCATTAAATTGAGATCCAAATTCCTGTACTAACCTCATAGGCAGGCATTTCTCCACTGCTATTGTAATTATATTATATAAATCTCTCTCTAAACATTTATAAAATTGAAAATTATAGCCCAGGCCTTAAAGCAAAACAACATTCGCTTCATTGACTAAATTATACTTCCATTTAAATTGTTTGCGAGAGAGAGAGAGAGAGAGAGAGAGAGATCTTAGCGTAATGTTTGCTGGCGTTATGTCTTGTGTTATGTTAGGTCTTGAGTCGAGAAAAAAAAGTTTTTTGTCTCCAAAACTCAAACTGAGAGCGAAAAGAGGGGACGGAATTCTCTGCCAAATTCTGTCAATAGTTTGCTTGAGTTGATGGTTATCATCAATTGATGGCCAAACGACGCGTACAACATCGCTATAACTAATATATTGTGTGCTTATATTTTATTCATTCGTCAAACCTAATGATAGTTCAAAAATTATTTTTGTTTTGTCACAAGTAGTGTGTTTAGTGTGTTAGCAATGATGTGATGCCTCGGCATCGGAGGAGTTGTGTCTCTGTGTGGCTGTGCTCTCACTTAAGCCACTATTTCTCTACTACCTCTCCAGTGTTGGCTCGTTTTTTGCTACCCCTCTGTCCCTCTGTTGCGCGTCAGACGCATACTAAATATGTTTGAGTAAAGACTACACACAATATATAATATATACAGTATATTCTGTACACTACATACATATATATCATGTAACATATAAGAATATATAGTTATCTAATGTGGACTGAGTGTAGGCTGTGGTACTGGTCATGGAGTGCGAGTGTAAAGAGTGTATGGAGTGGAGAGGAGAGCGTGTATTCTGTGTGCAGTTCTCTATCAACTAATCCTATACCAGACCTATAATGACGAAGCGTTGAGACTCGTCGTGACGAACACCCGATATGTGTAACTTTGGACGCGTTTCTGCAACGGCTCTCTCTCTCTCTCTCTCTCTCTCTCTCTCTCTCTCTCTCTGACCATCTCTTGATTCTTGCACTACGAGTGCATCATCTGATCAAAACGAGATCTATAGAGAATAGCCTACGGACTGGGAGCCAAACCTATCATTTTTCTCAACCAAGCCCTTCAATTTCCTTTGGTGTACTGACTAGTTGTGCAAATAGCCTAAAGCCAGAGTCAGTTAATAGGGCTATGACTACGAGTGGGGCTTCGCTTTTAAAAGGAGACTCATATGAATACGAGACACAGTTATTGTTTAGATTCACTTCTGTTGTCTTAACAGTCAAAGTGGTAGCTCTTCCGACCTCACAATCAAGTGGTGAACTGAGAGCATAAGTAAACACACTCTCAAGTCATAGGCACAGCCAGTGTCGCCAATACTCCAGCGCTTGAGTTATTATTATATTACGATTACGCCTCTAATTCATAGTAAATTCATTCATTCATTTCCATTCATTCATTTGTTTATGTGTTTATGTTGTTATTTATTATGTGTTTCACGTCATATATATTTTCCATATTTAGCGCATAATATCGTATCATAAACCATATTCACTCGCATATCAAATAATACTCTGTCTCTCAGTCTCTCTCACAGTGTTTATAAATATCACACACAATAACAACACGAATATTCTTTATCTCTTAACACGTACTCATGGGTCACGACAAGGGGTTCACAGAATCATATCGCACTGACACCGCACGTGCCTATGACTGACTGACTCCCAGTGCCGTCCGAGTCAGTCAGTGACAAATAGCCACCCCTTCGGTCCCGACCCCCACAACTCAGTTGGTGTCACTCGCGTTGACAATGTGTTTGCCAATGACCACCGGTCCAGTCAAATGCTAACACTAAATGCCGCAATACAAGTCTCTCTCTCTCTCTCAGCTGGTAATCGAGTATAACTTGTTCCCTATTCTTAATAACATTATTGAAATGACTGAAAGTCCTAGTCATGTATAGTATTGTACAGAATAACCTAGCATATAGTGATTGCATGTTCTCAATGATTACGATTGTGTGTCATATCCCTTATTAGTGTTTTGATGTAATTTCTAAAGTGTTGATAACACGCACATCACAACCGGCATTGTTTACGACAATTCGTATCAATAGTATGTATAGTATGGCATAAATGGCACAGTTGTCTGTCTGTCTGTCACAGGTAGTGAAGGTGTTTGATTGGAGTCGAGCACCGACTCGTCAGATGTGTTTGCAATTTGCATGTTGTCTGTTGTCTCACGTCTATTGTCTCACATATCGCGTGATAAGTGACACATAGTGTTCACTAAACTACAGAATATTCTCTGCAACCATAGACACAAACATATAGTGCTGTATGTAATAGAGAGGCATAGATTCAAAACGTGTGCCACTTTTTTGCACTCGTATTAAGTGCTTATATAATAATAAAGTCGAAAATAAATTCTTTGATAAATAGAAAGAAGATTTTTTTGATGAAAAGTTTTTTACGAGAGATGTTCAAAAGTGTGAGACAGACATTATTACAGTTATTTGTGTGCATCATATGATTGTATGATTAAGTGAGTGATGCCTTTCATAGCACTCGCAGCAGCATTCAGAGTGTGGTTTGCGAGTGGAGTGAGTGAATTGAGACCTTTTTGACAAAAACACACTTACGATCATTGCTATCATTATAGTGGATGAGTAGAAATAGTGACGTCTAATACATGGTTTGCCAAAACACTGTAATTTGTGTTCTCAACCAGATTTGATGGTTGAATGATATGCACAGGCGATACCCTCGCCATACCATACCATTGATGGCACTGGTGATACTTTGATAGCTGGGCCCATAACAGGCCATCACAGCCAAGGCCAGTGCCAGCCGAGGCTAATACTTGCAATTTATATATATATTTTCACTCTGTCTTACAATTTGGATGCAAAAAGTGCTCTAATTTTTTATGATTGTCTGCTCTTTCATGCGATTTGCATCACAAGTATTGTATTTTAGGTCCTCAACAGTGAGAACAGTATTTAGAGGCAGGCGCTCAACAACAGCCCAAACAATGCTCTGATGCCTAACATCATAGTTATCGACAGCTCTAATATGCCATCAGTAGTCTGACAGCGGTGTCAGTTGAGGACCTGCTGGGCAGAG